TTTTATGTTGGTTTTAACTTTTAACTTTTAAGTCCACAGATTTTGCCTAACACGCGACCACGCGTGAAGCATTGATGTATATAATATATATATCCTAAATAATAAAAATCAACCAACCCTAAACCAACAGGCCAATACACTTCGCATGAATGCAGCACAAATACACTTACTATGTCTTGTACCCATCTCTCCTTCTCTCCCTCTCCTATCCTCTCTTCTCTCTCTCTCTCTCTCTCTCTCTCTCTCTCTCTCTCTCTCTCTCTCTCTCTCTCCTTCTCGGGTTGCTTTTTCTTGAACGGTGGTTCATCGTCGTTGTCTTTTGTACCTTCTCTCTTTCGTCCTCGGATGATTGATTGATACAATACACTTCGCATGAATGCAGCACAATCAACAGCCAATATTTGGACTATTTTTGTGAATATGTAAATCCGATAAAATCGGAACGATGCAGAGAAGAGGATTCGCATGGTTCCCCCGCAAGAATGACACCCACAAATTCACAAAATGGTCCAAATAGTGCCAAATACATGAAAAATAAAATTAAAAATAAAAATAAAAATAGAAACTTTGCATGAATGAGGCCGGACCGATAAACAGAGCCGGCAAACCATATCCTACTTTTGGGGGTATAGTAGGTATACTGTGTCACTTTGGGGGTATACTGTGTCATTTTGGGGGTATACTGTGTTACTTTGGGGGTATACTGCGCTACTCTGATTTCATCCCACCACTGACAACGTCTTCGAAGCTCTACCTCCTACTTGGCACTCAGCGCCCAGACTACTATCACACAGCCGCCATCCTAAACTACAAAACAACGAAACCACCAGTTGACATCAGCAGCAAAGCAACCGCCGAAGTACATGCAGACATCTACCTTACCGCCATGACCAGGTACGTGCCCCACATCATATCCCTCTCCTCTCTCTCTCTCTCTCTCTCTCTCTCTCTCTCTCTCTCTCTCTCTCTCTCTCTCTCTCTCTCTCTCTCTCTCTCTCTCTCTCTGTCTTCTTTACCCATGTCTCCACTACCCGAAGACCNCTCTCTCTCTCTCTCTCTCTCTCTCTCTCTCTCTCTCTCTCTCTCTCTCTCTCTTCAGCCTCGTCTTCTTTACCCATGTCTCCACTACCCGAAGACCACCACCATCCCCCGCTTTCCTTCTTCCAAGCCAAGCCCGGCTATGGGGGCTGGCTATGGCTACCTCCTCCTTTTACTCAGATTGCGTCAGGATTTGAACCCACGTTCTGTTTCACTAACAGTTGTCATCAGTGCACCCGCAACCAGGCAAGCAAAAACCCGCAACCTTTCCACACACACAAAAAAAAAAACCGCAACCGGCCAAGCAAAAACCCACAACCGGCCAAGCCCGCTGTTATCTTCAGTTTCACTCACTCAGATTGATTCCAATCAGGATTTGAAATTTGAGTCCTGTTTTCTCTTACTCCAGATTATATATAAATTCAAAGTTGCAAACCCGCAACCGGGCAAGCAAAAAACATTTCTCGTCTTTTGACTCTTTTCTCTTTTTTTTTCACATATGCAAGAACAGAGAGAAGGGGGGGGAAGGGAAGAAGAAAAAAAAGAGAAAAGAAAAAAAGAAAGAGAACAGAGGGTGTCGATGCCAAGGGAAAACGAGTGAAGCACATCTGGTACCGTGGAACGGGAACCAACAGCTGTCCCATGGAACACCGGTTTTCATTGGACATCTACAAAACCAGTGTTGGGCGTCTAGCGACAACAGCGCGCGCAACAAGCAACGAGCAACGAGAGGACGCATTTCTGGTCCAGTGGGACTATGACGGTGATGACCACAAACGCCAAACACACTTCTGGTGCCGCCATGGGGAAAGGAGTTGTTTTGTGATCCATGGGACTAAATACTAAATAGTAAACACAGCTCTTTTTTCTCCACGGCTGCACCACAAATGCGGCGTTTGTGGTCATCACAGTCATAAGTTTCCGCGGGACCAGAAATGCGTCATCATCTCGTTGCTCGGTGCGTGAGCTGTTGTCGCTAGATTCCCAACAGTGGTTTTCGTTGATGTCAAATGAGAACGAAAACCGGTGTTCCATGGGACAGCTGTTGGTTCCAAGGGACATCCATTGGTTCCATGGGACATCCGTTGGTTCCATGGGACAGTTGTTGGCTCCGGTTCCACGGTACCAGACGTTCCAGCAATGGGTGTCCCAAGTACCAGACAGCTGTAAGTTACATGGGACAGCTGTTGGTTCCATGGGACCAGACGTTCCACGGTGGCAGACAGCTGTTGGTTTCCATTCCACGGTACCAGACAGCTGGTTCCGTGGGACCATGGAACCAACTGCTGTTGGTTCCATGAGACAGCTGTCGTTCCACGGTACCGTGGTACCAGATGTTCCACGGTACCAACAGCAGCTGTAAGTTCGACATGGAACGGCAGCTGTCCCACGGAATGGGTGTTCCAAGTCCCAACAAGTCCCCAAAAGTCCCAACAACACGAAGACATTTGCGACCCGACAGAACCACAGCGGTTCTGAATGAAACACTACGATTTTTTGTGTGATCCAAGCAAAAACGAGAAAAAGGGAGAAGCTTAGCGAAATTTACCATGAAACTGGCACCGTACAGAAGCACCAATCCATAAATAGACACATGACTACGCCAAGGAACAGGGGGAGGATAAAAAGTACAGGATGCGGAGGAAGAGGAGCACAAGGACGAGGGGGAGAAGCACCAGAAATTGGAGTAAGAGGAGGGGGAAAAGGAGGAGGAGGAGGAGGAGGACAAAGAGAAGCACTACGAAGAAGAGTACCAGGAAGAGGAGGAAAGGAGGAGGAAAAGGGGGAGGAGGAGGAGGAGGAGGAGGAGGGGAAAGAGGAAGATGGAGAACGATCTGATGGTCGAGATGAGCGTGGCACCGGCAATTGTGAGGGAAGGAGGACACAGAGGGGAAGGCGCGGAGGTGATGGGGAAACTCGAAGCAGGGAAGGAGGAAGACAACAGGAGGGTCAGGAGGCCTAGGACGGTGAGCGGGGGTGTTGGGTGCGCGGTAAATCCTGGAGAAAACAACAGCTAGGTGGAACGAGAAGGAGGAGGAGGAGGAGGAGGAGGAGGAGGATTTGACTTGGAAGTTAGCACAGACATCAGGGAAACAGTCAGTGTGAGGAAGAGGAGGAAGACAGAGGAGAAGGAGGAGGATTTGACTTAGAAGTTAGCACACATGTCAGGGAAAAGGTTGGTGTGAGGAGGAGGACGAAGATGAGAACACGCATGGGTGGAAGAGGTGGATTCCAGTCCAGGAGGGGGAGGTGCAGGAGGACAGGAGGAGAAGTACGGAGCCCTAATACCATAGCCAGTGGACAGAGTGAGGTAAATGAAGGCGGATATATTACGTGGAGGCGGGAGAACATGGAAGAGGAGGAGGACACCACTTAGCTCTCACCTCGGGAAGGAAATCTCGTACGGGAATGTCACAGCATCGGTAGACTCCACAGGTGGAGGTATGTGGTCCCGCTTCTCATTCACCAGCTGCAAGATCCGCATGATTGTATCACGCACAGCCACTTCCAGTGTGGCATGTTTTCTGTTTGGCTCTTCTGTATCAAAAAAAAGTCCACAGCCATATAGACAGGGAGCCAGAGGGTTGGCGAGGCACGGGTGTGAGGATATTCCCATCGCAGTCTCAACAACGGCGTACTCATATCGAAATGCAACCCAAAGAATGCAAACACACGTGCTTGAAACCATTCATTTCGTTTTTTTGTCTGCGACCCCACCACACCAACGACAACAACAACGACGACAACAACCACAACAACAACGACAACAACAACGACAACGAAGAAGAAGGCTATCAGCCGGGCCGCCCGGGTCCCCTTGTTTGCCCGGGAAGCCCGGCCGTGCAAAGACCAAGAAATGTCCCAGCAAAAAATAATAATAAAAAAAAAAGTTCTGGAAAAAAAAAAATGTTATGCTGCTTATGCAGAAAAATAAACCGAACAACTGTTGCCTCAGGGTCGTATCGAGATTCTTGACCAAATTTTAAATCAAAAATAATATATATATATTGTCACATCATATATACATATGCAAGGAAAATGAGCAGTAGCGAGATGACAATATACAGAATGCACAATCACATTGAAAGCCAGAAAGTATGACAGTGTCCAGAAAGCAGCATTGCACCAATATGACACCAATGGAGAATCGTAACACTGAAAAACCAATGTCAATGAGAGCTTGCTCTCGCCACCACCAACACAAGAGTCCAGGACCTTCTCCCTACTTGGCGCTTGGCGACCAGCCTACTTCCTACACAGCTACAATCTGCCTACTAATTGACAATGCAACTGTTGGCGTCGGCAGCCCACAAAGTACGTGAAGATGTCGTTCAATGCAGACCATCGCCAATACCAGGTATGTGCCCTCACATCATCATCATCATCATCATCATCATCCTTCTCTCTCTCCCCTGACTAACACCCACGTCTTCCCTCTGTACACCCGAAGAACACCCCTGCGCCTCACTGTAGACCAAGCCCCAGCCAGCTATGAAGGCTGCGGTATGGCGCTGCCCTCAGCAGCAACATGTTTCTTGCACGACCGCACGCGCTTCCACCTTGCCCTTAGCGCCAGCAGCAGCCCACGAGCCTCCGCTCCAGCAGCACTGCCGCTAGCATGCAAGTGCCTGAATGAGAGCCCAGGCAGCGATCCCTTTCCTATATGGAAAGAGCCTGCCTGCCCCCGGCGGCCTGACTGGCCTGGGCCTCTGCACAGAAGCTTCCGGTAGGCCCCAGGAGGCTGTGCCTCGGTTGCAGCTGCTGGGCCTCGTTCGGTTGGGCCTCCCAACTGTCTGTGTATGAGGCTGCGATTCTTGCCCAGGGCCTGCATTTCCCCCAAAGGCCTGGAAGGCCGTGGAATATCTTTGCTGCTCGGCCTGTGTTTCCCTCAACCAACTGGCGCGTCACAACTCCCTGGACCCCAAATACGAAATTGACATCAGAGGACCTCTCGCACTTTGTTAGGCCCGCCTTCACTTAGGGCGGGCACTTCTGTAACAGGGCCCCCTTAGGCCTGCCGACGGCCGAACGCCCGAACGTACAGAACCCCTTGGGGATGCGTTCGGCCGTTCGGGCCGAACG